TTTAAATAAATAAAAAAATAATAATAATAATCTTCAAAAAAATTAAACAAAGGAAGAAAAAATAATAATTAAAGAACATATACAGATGAATCTTTCAAGATTTATAACATGTATTTAGAAAATGGCTTAATTTTCATTTCCGATACCTCATTTTGATACCTATGAAGCAAAAGCAAATGACAGCCATTTCACTAATGACCAGATACAATCGACAGCCCTCACCTGTGCATTCATTGGCATTTTCCCTACACACAGCCACGACACCCCCTTTACAATTGCCTCCTGCGGCACCACTGTGGCAGGTAGGAGAAACTTCAGCACCCGGGTACAGTTCGCAGTTCCTGTCGGATGAACTGAATTTAATCATCTGTGCCATAAACCCCTAAAGGCACTCAGCAGAATGAGGATGAGCAACTGCTGATATGTTTGATTGTGATCTAATTGCCATGTTTCTCATGATGAATTCCTGCTCATGTTATAATGTAAACAAATACAGCTGAAGAAATCTGTGCATCCCCTAATTATATTACCTGCATTGAGGCTTAAAGCCAAGTCCAGTAGCACTGTGATGACCTCCGGAGGAAGACCCTTACTGAGAGCCACTGTCTCCACCCTCACCATATTCCTCTCCAGCTCATCATTCCCTCTGACTACTGTGCCAGCTTCCACTGTAACACACAACAATACATGTAAACAGATATTATGACACTTAGATGTGACACAGTATCTGATGACGACACCCTTACACAGGTAAACAAAAGACCTTAACAGACCTGAAGTCGTTATCAGAGTTACTAAAGGAACAAAAACAAAAGAACTAAAGGAACAATTCATTAAATAGAAATGTGTCCCTACTATTAAACTGTAACCCTCTAAAATAGTTTTTGTAATCCGTTTCTATAATGTTTTATGCTGCACTTACCCCGAGACAAATACTTCACCGCGAGACCAAAGGGATCCGCCACGCCTTTTCTCTTTTCTTTTTCTGCCAAACGCAAACTTCTGTTGCTCACAGAGGAGACGGAGGAGTCTATTTCTCCGGACGGTTCGGAGACTAACCCCGCCAGGTTAGATAAATCGGCCATTTTTTCGCTACATTATATTATTATTTGCTCTCTCTTGCGTGTTTGCCTCGGTCGCTGAAGTAACCCATTCAAACCAAACGCCAAATCTGCCGCGACCGTTTGGACATGCGCACTACATCACTTCCTGTACTGCCACTAGCGCAATGAACTGAAAGCGGAATAGCTTTACTGCAACAAATATGTTATTAATATATAGTTGTTTCAGAATTTTTTTTTTTTTCATTGAATTCTTCATTTGCATTTATCGTTGTTAAAACATAAACAATTGTGTATAGTTTTAAATATTAACAAAGCAAATTAGATGCACACTCAAATAAATATCAAGGGAAGTTCCACGAGTGCAAAATATTATACGGCTAATATTTTATACGTGGCTACTGTGTCTATGTGATTTTATTATTATAAGTGATTATTATTATTTCCAAGGTATCACTGGAAGACTACTACTCAGGGCTTTCCCAAAATAGGCTTACGACGCTTGAAACGCAGCCCAGAGGCCAGAGCAGTACTGAGCCTCTTCTACTTCATGTGATATTTTATGGTGGTTGGCAAACCAACGTAGAAAGTGCTTATCTGCCACTTACTGGACTGGGATGAGCAACGTCAAAGTGGTTGAAAAATCAGTTAATTAATATTCATTATAAAACAGCAGAATGTCAGACCAAATTTTGAGACATCAATATAATGAGTTGACTATATTTGATAAATAGATTGGTTGGTATTAAATGGAAAAGAACTGTAAAAGAAAAAAGGGCACAGTGACACTATTATGTGATGATACTCTAATGATGCATACTCAAAATACTATACATCCACACTTTAAATATTTCTTTTGGTGGATTACATTTTTTATTTTTTTTTTGTGAGGATAATAATTTTGGAGGATCATTTGTTTTTGTTTACATTGCATTGAGCTTAAATATACTAAATAGCATATATGCTGCAATATTTACATTATTAGCATAATGTGGTTGACCCATTTACAGTTTAGAACAAGAATATGCTGATGGTAACATTCTATTCATAGTTAAATCTGTTTAGTAAAAAGTGAGCAAGACATAAAAATCACAAGTGGTGTTTTTAATACTGTCACCAAACTCCATGATAAACTGCATAGAGGTTTTATTGTCAGCATCTGCATGCACAAACATGAGTTTTTCCCCCCTCACTGTCAAAAGTGTAATATGACCCCTTCTGTGTAAACTACGAATGCACAATTCAGTTCATGAATTAGCTGGGCATTCTGGTAAAGGTTTAGACACAGGTCATGACTCGTGTTCTCTGTTAGGTATTTTTACTCAGTTACAAACAGCAAATTATCAGTATACATTCAAACATATCAGACACGTTTCTCAATTCTACTCCTTCCAGCACTGTGCATTTAGAATGTATCACTTATTTGACACACCTGATTCATCTCTTCAGTTTATTAGTAATGATGCATAACCTGAATTTAGTATGTAAAATTAGTAAGACACCACAAATGAGCAGTGCTGGGTTTTCAAGAACAGTATAAAGGAACAAATTAATCTAAAGAAAATACAGTAGATAAAAATTTTTTAGTAATAAAAATAGTAAACCAATTTGGTAGTTCTATGATTCAAAAGGAGAAAGCAACCATAAGAAGAATCCAAGGATACGATTTTTATTTGACTGTTATTGAGAGACAACCTTGAAAATCTAATTTGATAAAAAGAAACAAAGAAATATTATTATATGCAAATTAAAAAAGAATAATATGCAGAACATTTCATGTTTTCAGTTTTGATGGTTGTAACAGATTTTGAGGCAACAGAGAAGTTACTGTCTGCCATCTGACTCGAACATTTAAACAAATGATGTACAGCATTTTTAAATAATAAAAAAATCAATGTCAATGTAAACAGAAACGGTTTTATATAGTATTCATCGACAGTAGTTCAAAAGTAAATAAACCATCACAAAAATTGTTGACATTTGAAGAAACCTGTATCACAGTATAATCTTAAAACTGGCATTTTGGATATTGTTCAATGCAGGGCCAAAATAATAATAACAATAAATACAACAGGGAATTACAGTAGTTTAATCTTTTGTTGTAAAACCACAACCAAAACAGTTTCCACAATGGTGATTGTCCAAATTGAAAATTTGTATTTTAAATAAGAAGCTTTACAGGTAAGACATGAGGTAAAGGTAACATAAGATCTGGTTTTCAGGCTTCTGATATGTAGCTGTGGGACATAAATCACCTTTTGGGACTACTGTCTTTTTTTCCGAGCACCTTCTCTACTATCCAGAGAAACAGATCTGTTGCCAGGCGCTCTTTCTGAAATTGTGGAGCTAAGAAACTTTGACTTTGTTCTTTTCTTGGGCAGTGATCTGCTCTTCTCGTCTCTCCTCCCTCTCGGGCCGGTCCTCACCCTGACGAGCAATGAGCAGCCGACACGTCAGCAAAATACCAAACACTAGGGCATGAGCATAGCGTTTTAGAGGATCTCCAACCAGCTGGTGGAAGAAAAGCACCGCTAGCATGACCAGTAGCAGAATAAAGTTGGCCACGTCTTTTGGTCTCCCTGGCACAAGGGTCAGAACAATTCCACATCCCACCTCAAGAGTCCCAATAATCTTGCGTAGAAGTACAGAAGAAACACCGATTTTTTTCAATGCCGGAAGGGCCTTTGCATAACTCTTGTACGCCCTTTTCTGGAAAGTGAACAGAAACATTAAATTTACATTTTTGTCAAGAATATTTAACATTAATACATATGTTACGCATGTAATGTAATGTTGTATTATGTGCACTACAAAAATAACAGATGAAATGATACAGCAGATAGATAGATAGATAGATAGATAGATAGATAGATAGATAGATAGATAGATAGATAGATAGATATATATGTGTGTGTGTGTGTGTGTGTGTGTGTGTGTGTGTGAATGTGTCTATGACATCAGCACAGCAGCTGCTGCACCTGCAGATGGAAGATAGAATTTGCTGGAAAGCGGCGCCATTGCTTTATCGTGAGCTGCTTTAAAAGGATCGTTTTAGAACGATATTGCAAAATAATCATCACACGTCATATCTGAGAGCGTTTCTTCTGTTTATCACAGATGATGCGCATTGTGATGTCATAATTGACCTATTTATGCGGTAATGAAACAATGTTGCGGCTGTGCATAGAATGCGCTGTTCAACTGCTCCAATTATGTTTTACATAATTCGACTCATAATCAGGATTTTAATTACGTCTTTCTTATATCTAAGATTATAGATGGAATTAAATGAAGTCTATCTTATATTCACCGACACATCCAAAACAAAGAATGAAAATTAAATTACACAAGCAGGCAGCGACAGCACTAGCGGACATCTTATAGAAAAATGCAAAAAGAGCCAGTTACTTTCGCACCCCCTCCTAAAACAAAGCCGGTTGCCTCCAGCTGAAGCTTCATTTGCGTACATGTATGCTGCTAAGCGACGATCACTTACCATTTCACTATAGGCATCTTTGCTTAACCTTGGTGTGAGTTTAATTGTACCCATGAACACGAAGAACAGACCCAGTGCAAAGGAAAGGGCAACAATGGTTATGGTTCTTGGCGAGGCCATCTTCTGTAAAGTCTCCTTTCGATTGGCATCCGTTGTCCCGCTCCAGCTTTCTTCACTGTCCTGCTGAAGATGCTGAAGGGGGAAGGGCTTGATGAATACAGTCAAATATGGCTGCATGTCATTCCGCTTCAGTACCAGGGAGCACCATTAGAGGGCGCTGCGTTTGATCAATGTCATAGACATAAAGCCAACTGCAGTGCAACTTGCAAGCAGTGCTTCTCAACACTAGGAGGCTCCAGCACACTTACAAAGACACCGCAGGATGTTCAGAAACAGTTTTGTGCCATTGTCAGCAAACGTATTCCGTTTGTTTAGACTACAAAACAGTAACTTCTTTTTGCAGACATTGATAGCAGACTTCTGTTTGGGTAAAAGACATTGATAAGTGGTTCAGCATGTCATCCATCCATCCAAATCTTCCATTTCTTCATAGGTCTTCATTCTTCTTTTTCATTACTATCCCGAAGCCATGTCCTGTTCCTGTCGGGCTTTGAGAGCCAAAATTGCTTTTCGGTAAAGGTCTATTAGGAAACAGGCAAATTAAATGCTTTAAATTAGTCTCCTACTTTTCTACAGATCAGGGCTGTCTGTGTTCAGCAAATGCTTTGGTTTGTTTTATTGTTTTAATATCAATGTAGAAAAATGATTGCCAATAAATATAAAGTTTATATACAATTATGTTGAAAAATTCCTCCCACAAGGCCTAAATTTCCCCCATGAGCAGCCATGATCAAAATGAATAGTGTTATAAAGGTCACTGATTCTTACCGAAAGTAGTTGAAAGATCAACAGGCTGTGCATAAGCTGCTGGAACTTCCTCTGTGTTTATCTTGTTCTTTCTTTTTACTTTAACGGTCTTCTTTTTTCTCATTCTTTCCTCTTTTCCTATGAATACATAGTTTAAAAGCATGAAAGGAAATAGGATGCAGTATTTCAGTTCTAATGACACTAAAGTTTCAATACCTCTAGAGGGTCTGGAGACCTCGCTGTTGGGGGACTCTGGTAGACCCGAGTTCTCCTCTTTTACTTTGGCTTTGTGTTTCATTTTCCTTCGTTTGGGAGTCAGTAATGCACTGCTGGCTTTATCTTTCTGGCTGTTGTGGTCCTGTTCTGCTTCATTTCCTTCTGTCTCCTCCACCTCGTCTTCATTTACTCCTCTGCTTGGACTCTCCTTCTTAATTTTAACCTTCACCTTCTTCTTTTTGCTTAGTTTCTTTTTTAAAGAGTTCTCCTACAATGCCAAAGGGTAAATCAATAAGTGTCAAGTCAATTAAACAACAGTACAGTTTTGTTAAAAATTCCATGATAAAGATATTTAACCTTATTTAGAATATTTTGGAATGGCTGCAGAGTCCCATTTTTCCTCACAGTTTCATTGTGCTGTTCCTGACGGATATCAGTTTTGCTTGTACGTGTTCTACAAGACAAGATGAGTTGCATACATCTTATTATCATATATACAAATGAGATAATATGATGTATGCAAATGTTTGGGCCAGTTAGAAATTGTTCTTATTATTCAGAAAGAATGAATAATAAAATGTTAATAAGAAAAGTGATAGTAAAAAAAAAAAGCCTATTTTAAATAGATACTCTTCTTTTGAGCTTTCTATTCTTAATTATAATAGACTATATAAAACAACTGTTTTCAACATTGATAAAAACATTTTAAAAAATGTTTCTTGAACACCAAATCAGCATATCAGAATGAATTCCGAGGGATCATGTGGCACTAAAAACTGTAGTAAAGTAATGGCTGCAAAAAATTCAGCTTTGCCGTCACAAGAATTATATTTGAAATAAAATAGAAACAGTTATTTTAAAGTGCAATAATATTTCCTAATATTACTGTTTTACTGTATTTTTGATCAAATAAATGTAGCCTTGGTAAGCATAAGAGACTTCTCTAGCAAACATTTAAAAATTGTGCCGATCCCAAACTTTTGAACGGTAGTGTAAATACATATTATTTTATATAAACACATCCCTTACTTTTCCTCTTTAGATTTGTTCCGGCTCTTCTCCATTTTTCCTCTCCTCTCTTTTTCTTCTGGCCCTAATGGTCGCCTCCCGTCTCTCATCACACGGGCACAGATGTCAGGGTAGTCCAGGCACACGGCTCGCAGTAGCCATCTGAGACCTCGCAGAGTCTTTCTGTCTGACCAGCGACGCAGGTCCATTGAGGCAGAACATGACTCCTGTAGATTAAGAACAGACTGCTTAAAATACTCTGTAATAAAGCTACTGGTAACCGGTCAGAATGTTGCCATAAACATTAACATGGTATATGTGACCCTGGACCACAAAACCTGTCATGAGGGTAAATGTTTTGAAATTGAGATTTCTACATCATATGAAAGCTGAATAAATAAGCTTTCCATTGATGTATGAATATGTTAGGATAGGACAATATTTGGCCGAGATACAACTATTTGAAAATCTGGAATCTGAGGGAACAAAAAAAAAATCTAAATATTGACAAAATCGCCTTTAAAGTTGTCCAAATGAAGTTCTTAGCAATGCATATTACTAATCAAAAATTAAGTTTTAATATATTTACAGTAGGAAATTTACAAAATATCTTCATGGAACATGACCTTTATTTAATATCCTAATGATTTTTGGCATAAAAGAAAAATCAATAATTTTGACCCATACAATGTATTTTTGACTATTGCTACAAATATACCCCAGCGACTTAAAGGGATAGTTCTGCCAAAAATTCTGTCATCATTTACTCACCCATAACATAAGATATTTTGAAGATTGCTGGTAATCAAACAGTTGGTGGTTGCCATTGACTTCCACAGTAGGGAAAAAAATACTATGGAAGTCAATGGCAACCACCAACTGTTTGATTACCAGCAATCTTCAAAATATCTTATTTTGTGTTCAACATAAGAAAGCAACTCATACAGGTTTGGAACGACATGAGGGTGAGTAAATGATGACAGAATTTTCATTTTTGGGTGAACTATCCCTTTAAGACTGGAGGTTTATCTTATGTTTTGAATATGTCACAATTGTTTCACAGTACTCACGATGTGACAAAGGGAACGGCTCTGGTTGACCAGCCTCTCTAGAGAGAGAATTTCAATGAGTTCATTTCCCAGCAGAGCATTTATTTTGTCCTGTTTATTTGCCAGCCTGTTATGAGATATAGATAGAGATGGCCAAAATAAGCTGGACTGCAGGCAAAATTAGACACACTGAAGATAGTACTGCTATTTGTACCCGAGTTTTATATTGATTTTAAAAACGGAATAGTTTGGAGCATTGTCAAAGAAAATAATTTGAAAAATATTATATGATTTATAATAATAAACTGATCTTTTTTCATCAGAAAAATTATTTAATAATAACATTTGTGAACAGGGCTATCTTACACAAGAAGAGGTTTCCCTGCTACTCTTGGATGCTTCAGTAAGTCCACCAGAGCTTCTTTGACCTCTTTCATTTGTTGTCTGTCACTGGAATCCACCACAAAGATGATGCCGTGAGCTTCACCGTAATGTTCTCTCCAAGACCCCCGAACCTCAGGAGCCCCTCCCATATCCAGTATGTTAACCAAGTAGTTCTCCACCCTTAATTCAGTGCGGACACATCCATGAGTGGGACCTACATCTCCAGGTGGCACTGAACAAAGTATCATAACATTAAAACTCAACAAAATGCACAGTCAATTTAGCAAATCTCTCACTGATGTAATTTAACATTTATTCAAATGACCTAAATTACCTCTCAACATCCCTCTGACACAAGATGTTTTTCCAGCCTTGTCCAAACCAACCACTAGAACCGTGATCTTCCTAGAACATTTTCAAACAGGGTTATTTAATATGTGGCATTTGTTGATAATAGGCTGACCCCTTCTGATCAGCAACAATAACACCAACAAAAAAACAGATAGAATTGTATAGGTACCTCAGTGGTTGCTGGAGTTTGGAGACCCAGCTGCAGCAATTGCTCATGAGGTTGAACATGTTGACCTGAGGAGGAGAGCACCAGGGAGAGCACCATCGTCTCCTTAACTCGTACCTGAGTGCAGATATCGGAGATACTCAATCATTTGTACTCATGGCCTTAGAATACATGTAAACCCCAGCTGTTGTGTCTCGCACAGGCATTAACCTTAAGCATTAAGGATTCATTAGTTACTTGAATTTCTGACACCCACACCATCCCCTTAACACCTGTAATGCTTGAAAAGCAAATACAAAAAATGGTCAAATATAGGATCAGTTTTGAGAAAGAGCCATCCTCACTTTGTTTTTGAGTATTTTATTTATAATTTAAAACAAATATATTATTTAGTTTTTAAGTATTTTATTCATATTTTAAATGTATTTTATTCTTTTAAAATTATTATTAAAAATACTTAAAATATTTGTAATATTTTTTAAACATTTACATTTATAGACATGTTTCATTTTACAGCCAAACAAAAAGAAGTAAAGAAAAACTTTATAAACTCTTAATTTTACAGTCAAATAAAGGTGTATAAAAAACAGCAAAACAAAAAGTAAAAAAATAAATAAAATGTAAACACACATTATATTACAACAAAACAATATAAAACAAAACATCTAACCTTTTTAAGAATCACCATAAGCCATGTCTTTAGCTGTCATGGCTTTAAGAGATCAAAACACTGCAAAAGAGCTGATTAGGCTTTGTTTTTGAGCCAACTAGCAGAATAAGATCTTCAAGGGCAAAATAACCTGCTCAAATTCAGATAGCAGCTTCCTATCCAGTGCAAACACATAGTAGTCTAATTACATTTACAGGTGTCTGAGTTGTAGGAAGGTTTGCGATTTTAGTGCTTGGTCCATCACTGTACATCTGTTCAGTCCCGTAAGCCTTTAAAGAGTAGTCTGAGTCAATTATACTGTTCTCGTTTTGAACACCTGACCCCTTTATCCAAGCAGCATGTGCTGCTGTAGCCCACCGTGCAAACACTCTCTATGTTTGTAAATGTAAAATACGTTTAAACATTTTTTTCTACATAACAAAACTTTCCAACTGACACCTTACACATAATTAAGGATGCTACAACTGTAAGTTCTAAACTGCATATTTGACTACAGATACAAAGCATCAACATGTTAGTCTGGATTATTAAATACAGACTGTAAACTGTAAGTTTCAGAGTGTTTGGAGACCACTATAATATTCAGTGTACTCCTCTGCACAATCACATGTGATCATAAACAGCATTAATGAGTATACAGACATATGCAGAGACATAATACAGCACATCATATCACATATTTAGAGTTAATGTGCAGTCAATAAAAAAATATTACTCACAGTAGTATGTCAGACTCCATGTGTTTTTGTTTGTCTCTCCAGAGACATTTTGCACAAGTCTGCTAAAAACTAATCAGGCTTTACTTATTCCTCTAATCCGGTCACCTCATGTGGGAGGAGCTTAGAAGGAACACCATCACATCCTTACAACCAATCATACAGGAGACAAGTGACAGCTGCTATTCTGCATGGTTCAGCTGGGCTAAATGTAGACATCTGCCAGGTTATTTTAAGCTAAATATATGTAAACATCCTAACAAATACTTTGATTTTAGTTATAGGGAAAGTCCATAGACATCTGCTTTGAGGTAAATGAGAAATATGTTATCTACTATTCAGTCTAATGTCTACTACTCAGTCATATTACTGTGTAGTAGAGCATCATAGTGTGACGTCATCCTGTTGTTTACACGCCACTTGCAGATAAATAATCCAAGTGACACAGGCTCACTTGTACGTGCTTCTGAAATCTCCATCTTCAGAAGACTATTGCATATTCACAGAGTTCAAATTAACACCAAATCAAAATGGACAATTCTTATTTTTATGTAATATTGCAGTATTGTAAATTATTTATCCGTGCACATCCCTATTTTTTTCATTCATGTGATCTCTTAATCTTTAATCAAAAACAATAACTTCCCCTTCTCTGATGACGTGGGCATCGATGGTACAAGAGCTGGCCAATAATCCATCCTGTCCAGCTACCTGTCACTCATATGAGATCACAGCAATTAGCAGACAACAACGATCTAATTAAATCCTGATGGACAAAATCAAGTTCCGTCCCTACATTTTTTCTTGTTTGAGAAGCCGGATGTGTCACAATTGGGAAGAAAAGACGATCTCAACTTTTGTTTCATGCTGATTTTAACACAAGGATGATAACGATAATGACAATTATACATTTTTAATTCATTCCAAAGTTATGAGAGCTACATCATTGGAATCACTTTCAGAACGATTTTTTTTTCCTGTTGATGAATGGTAAAAAATATTGACAGCCAATTAGAATCCACCCGATTTTAAAGAGCTTAAGCATTTAAGGCACTAGACAACTAAACAGCTAGCTACGCTTGCTTATAATAAACATAGTCATATTGTGAGTTGGAGTGGACGCCAATATAAATATTGTTATAGTTATGTAGTTATTGTTCTTGGTGTGAATGGGCTTTTAGCCTGAATTTTTTTCCCATTAAATTTCAAAAGCACACAGTATTCAAAAAGTATTTAAATGTCTTTGCATTACATAAAATATCAAACCAAGTGGCATTTGCAAAGAAATAAAACCAACTAACTTTACGTTTCTTTCTTTTTTAACCCTTTGACGCGTACGATCACACCGGTGTGATCAGTCTTGGCTGGTCCCTGAAGCGTACGATCACACCGGTGTGATCAGTCTTGGCTGGTCCCTGAAGCGTACGATCACACCGGTGTGATCAGTCTTGGCTGGTCCCTGAAGCGTACGATCACACCGGTGTGATCAGTCTTGGCTGGTCCCTGAAGCGTACGATCACACCGGTGTGATCAGTCTTGGCTGGTCCCTGAAGCGTACGATCACACCGGTGTGATCAGTCTTGGCTGGTCCCTGAAGCGTACGATCACACCGGTGTGATCAGTCTTGGCTGGTCCCTGAAGCGTACGATCACACCGGTGTGATTAGAACTTTCAGTGCGTCACGTCATCAACTGCTGAATTTAAATCCGCTTTCGCGCGGAGCCAGATCGGACGCGCTGAGCGCGTGTCATATTATGACAAATATTCATTGTTTTCAACCATATAATACTTATTTTAGGGTTCAGACATTTAAATACACATAAGTACTAGCAAAACCATACATTTACAGTTTGTAAAATGCACGCTGATGTCTATGGAAACGACAATAATGATCCTTACAAATATAATCTGACGACATGTTTTATTGATATCATATACAGATTGTGTAGGTAACTATAAAGTTTACTCTGCTCTTCTCCCAGTTTACCGGAGACCTACTTTAACGTGTTTCGGGAGGAGAGGATGAATTTGCGTGTTGTAAATCCCACAGCTCGGATGCAGCGCGAACTAACATGGCGGCGCCCATCACCCGCTATAGATCAACTAACACGGTCAATATAAAAGTGTTTAAACTACCAAACAGATTTAATTGCACATATTTCAGAATCGGAATATCAGATATTTCATAATATAGTGAGCATGTTTGTGAATATTTTGAATAAAACAGGAAAAACGAAATAAAAACGATCCATGTGTTACACAGATCTATTGTGGCTGCGTTGTGTCACATGACAAGCATGACGCGTCGCCATGGAAACAATAAGGCGATACATTTTAAAATAACGGTCGCCTAAAAAAAACTCACGCTGGGGGCTCAGCTAGAATATTTTAAACTGACGTGCGAATTAATAATTACTTAACCAACCCATTCCATTCTCATTTTTTGGTCAATCTAATAATTTTAGTCAATGTCTTGCTTTTCTTTCTTTTTTAATAATTACTTAACCATATTTTGTGATATTTCTACATTTTAAGTGTAGCAAATACTTTTCGGAGCCATTGTATATGGTCAGTTATACATTTTACAGGAATTATAACAGCATCACTGCATAACAGTCAATTTCAGACCAAACTTCAGTGACCTCACCATGACTATCTTTCCTGCGCCTTTAATTCATGTCAGGTAGACTGTAATTATGGTAATAACATGCAGTTTCGGGCTCCCACATCAAAGTCTGCGTCTGTCTCGGTCACAAGATTCCAAGTCAAAGGTTGTTCTAAGCGCAGTACACAAACTGCGCTGAATCTCAACCTTTATCTAAATCAATTACATTTGAATGAACAAATATGAGACATAGGCGTTAGGAAAGATTATATGCTCTGATCACTTCCTGTTTTATCAGCTGCTTTTCATTTTCCAAGAATTTTAGAATTACAGTTGAGAACACAGTGTTTACATCTGATGGAGTCACTGTGAGGGTCTGATAAGCTGCAGCATTGAGTTTCCTGAGGTGTATGACATACATTTGACCACCAGAAATCCAATTCAAGACTTTGTTTTTCTGTTTAGTCATTTCAGGATCTACACCAGTGTTTCTCAACCCTGGTCCTGAGCGCCCCCCAACACTGCACATTTTGTATGTCTCCCTTATCTGACACACCCATTTCTGGTCGTGGAGTTTCTTTTAATGAGCTAATGAGTTGAATCAGGTGTGTTTGATTAGGGAGACACACAAAATGTGCAGTGCTGGGGGGCGCCCAGAACCAGGGTTGAGAAATACTGATCTACACTGAAAGCAAATTTGATGGTGAAACAGATTTCACTCAGAAACTAGTACATTTCACAAATAATTACAAAGAAAAAGGAAATAACATTAATTTTGGAAGTAGAAATACTCCAATCATCTTTATTTATAACTTCAAAAAAAAAATCATTTTTCCAGTGAATTATAAAACGCTTTAGGCATGCATCCACATATATCAATTCGAGTGTTTCTCTGAAAAATCAAATTACTGAAGGTAGTTCTTCCACTTAAAACGGAAGTGAGGCAACTGTCAAAACAAAACAAAAGCAACATCCTCTTTACTTCTCTGTAGTCTGATCTGATTAAGTCATTACTGGCAGGCGCTTACTTCATCTGCTGACTAAACTCATGTGGAACCTTGAGTGCAGGCACAACCCCCTGTCAGCTGGCCATGACACAAATGGAAACAGCTCAGTGACCATGTTGCCGGTCCTTACAGCAGCTCATTTAATACACCCAATTCCATGATTCACAGGCTGGACAACTGCACATACCACATTATCTAAGATCCAAGAATTCCACAAGCTCATGTATTTTACTAATCACTGCATTATCCTAAGATTCACTGGGAATTTGAGAGCTTGACAACTGTGGATCTGAGTCAGAGAAGGCCATATGCATTCGTTTACTGATCATGGCTAGTTCAGTTTGGGACAATCAGTCTGTGAGGGTGAGAATGCACAGCAACAGCACTACTGCGTGTCTCTCCTCATGTAGTAAAGATATTCAACTGACATGCTAAATCTCTCTCTATACTGAAAATTAGATTTGAAGAAAAAAAAAATACTTTAAAACAAATCTAAGATGCAGGTGCTTTCAAATAGCCATTGTTAGTGTTTTACTATGTGGCTGCCATAGGCAATGGCTGTTTGCAATGTGAGTATTTACAAGGCTTGTTTATGGCCATGTGAGGCCCCTGGGACACCAGACGCTTTGGAGGCTCTCTCTTGAATTTCTATTTAATGTCTAAATAGAGGCACAAGTACATAGTTGCAATTGTGAGAATAAACACACCACATGTGTAATGTATTACGCAAGACACAGCGGACAGTGAACACAGCTACAAAGATCATCGGTTCCCTTCTCCCCTCCATTCTGGACATTTTCCTTGCACGATACTCCAGTAAAGCCACCAGTATCGTGAAGGACTCCACCCATCCCTCCCATTATCTCTTCCAGCTCTTGCCATCAGGAACACGGTAACGAACCCGCTCTGCAAGACTGCTCAACAGCTTTTTCCCCCAGGCTGTGAGAGCCCTCAATTCCAATGACCTCACCCCCCTCTGAAACCTCATCCACAGCCCTACCTCCTGAAACCAGGATCCTCTCACCCCCCCATACCCCACTCCACTACATGTAAACCATTGAAAAGCTCAAAAACATTGTGCAACTCTGAATGTGCTACACACAGGTGAGTGGGCTGGACAAATCACCTGTAGAAACGCACTCTTTTCTCTCTAAATGCACCAGACACTTTCTTATAAACACTCCATGTTACAAGAACTTAACAAATGTTTACTTGTGAATGCACCACAAATCATACTGCACTATTTGCTTCTTAACCTTAAATACCTCTTTTGCACAATATCATGCACAGTTATTATGTAAAGTACTTGTATAATCGGTCTTAGGGTATGTATATGTATAGTCAACTATTTATAGTATATGCATAGTTAGATTACCGCTTTCAGTAAGTTAGTTATGTATAGGTTTAAAAATTGTTCTTACGTCTAGTGTTGTATGTTTATATTTATGTTTATTTATGTAGCACCGTG